TTCTCAGTGCAGCTGGGAGAGTGGCCAGGAGACATGGCTAAGCTGCTGGATGTTCTGACCAGAGAGGACGTCAGGTAGTGTAGGAACCTGTTCGGACTTAATCGGTTTTGTTTTTAACGTTGCCCTGTGCCACCTTTAGTTTATTCATTCCTTCGCCTCTTTTGTCTTTTTCCTCCCAGGTTGTTGGACGTCTGCCATCGTAGACACAGCGATAAGTCAGAGCTCTTCAAGGCAAAGGTAGGCGACTAATCTGTCCTCTTCACTTCATTCTCTTTCCTCCTCCTCGCCAATCCGCTCATCCACTTTTCCTTTATTGCCGTGGAACTCTTGGCTTGGAGTTGTCAGGGAGTTGGCGGGAATTAAAAGACCAAAAATACAAATACATTTTTAAAAGATAGAAAAAAGTAGCATTGCTCAGTTCAGTACCCTCCTACAGCTATACTCGGTCTGGTACAACCATTAGCCAATTTTGGCTGTTGTTTTAGCAAGTTACAAACACAGTGTTGCTATGCAACTGAAACTACTGAGTCAGTTTGATGACTTTAAGACTCACAAACGTTACATATAGTATGCCTTTATTTTTTTTAACTTGGAAAAAAATGAAGTAAAGCTGCCGGGGAGAAACTGACATGTCTTGACTGATAAAACTTGGACCATCGTAGCTTTTTTAAATAATGGATTTTTTTATTCTCCTTCATTTCGAAAGCTCAGGGATGGAGCAGACTTATCATGTAATCTCCTGGCTCTGCATTTTTACCCCCACAGTCTCCACTGACAATTTGTACTGCTTATTCAGAGCAAGTGTCAGGAGGTGAAAGGTGTTGCATAATGCAACAAGCAAACCTCTCACTGCCCTAATTCTAGAGTGTGTGTGAGACGGAGAATGACATAAGGAGACTAACTGTATGTGTGTGTGTTGACAGGTGGAGTGTGTGGTGGAAGCCAGGGATAAGATGCAGAGTGCTCATCTGCGCAAGACGCTGAGCGAGCGCTACCCCTCTATATGCTGGCTGGACCGGTGATCACAGCGAAATCCTAAACATAAAACTAGACTGACTAAAAACAGATTCCTGCCGTCGGGATAACACATGCAAACCATTCCTGCAACAAACACACACACTCTTATGATATGCAAGCTCTGTTATATGAGACTCATTAAGAGAATGCTTGGTCAGCAAAACCTTGAGATTATAGCGCAAATCTACATGTTCCTTCTATTACTAATGCTGCTTTTGTTCTTCTTCATCATGGCACCTTAAATATACTGTGAAGCGGTTAAACTGCATCCCAGTTGATGATGCTAATTCTAACTGAATGCTATGGCGGATTCAGACTATTTTATAGTGGTTCCCAACTTGGGCCATTTAATGGGTTAACATTGGGCTGGCACATAATAAAGTATTTTTCTCTGTGTTTTAAATTACTGTAGAGCCAAGATTTTTCTTCATTTACTCTTATTATATAAACTTTTTATGTAACCCTCAAGTGATTAAATAAATCTGTAACAGTGGATAAAGCTTTTTTTCCCAGTTGTTGGTAAAGCATATAAGCTAATTACAATTAAAATGTGTCCCTATAGAGAAACAGTTCTGCAAAAAAAACCTATTTGAGTGTGTGTCGAGCCCTCTGGGTCTTCATTAACGGCTGTCATGGGTGGCCACGCTTTAGTCTGTGGTGGCCAACTTGTGGCTCCACCCCCTGGCAGAACGTGGATCAGTCTGGATTAGCTAAAGGGTCGAGTGTGACTCCTGTAGCGCATGTACAGCTTCACTATATAAGGTCTATTTTTCATTGAATGTTCTTTTTAAAATGCTGTAAATATTTCTGTACTGTCCACAGTGGCAGTTTCAACCCTCCTAAAAGTGTTCTCCAAATAAAACTCCGGACAAATGAACCGTAACCGTGTTTTCACATTTGTGAAGTTTATATGCAAAGTAGGGGACTAGCTAGACTAGACAACTAGCTTGGGTTTTTCTTCATTGCTGGTGTATTTTCACCAAAAGTAAAAGTAACACAGGATTTAAAAATAAGTAGTGTCTGCACTGTCTAACTGACTAATGTCTGGACAAAGCTCTTGTTGAGACTGGACCATTTAAGACAAGCTAATGCTCTTAAGTTTGTAAGCAGAGGACACTGTGACCCCGTGCTACTGCTTTAGCCTGATTTGGCCCACGTCACACACTGCTTTAGCCCACGTCATACACAAACACCTTCTTGTCAGAAGATATACATTCAGAGCTGTGATTGATGAGTCCAAGGCTTCCCGAAACCGTTAAAGCTCCTAGCCAGGAAACGATAACTTCTTACATTAACAATTATCATTACTTAGCTAATTGGGCTACATAATTAACATAAGTAGATAAGCTACATAATCTACTTATAATCATTTAAGTAAATGTTTAATTAAACATCTGACCCAGACATGGGGGGGGGGTTTACAAGCTAGTGTACTCCTAGTGCTAGTACCAGACTTGTGTTTGATTTCTTTAAGATTTTATACCACATGCACTTCCTGGTGGAGCCCTCCCAATTTATCCATGGATCATAAAGAATTAGATTTCCATAGCAGTTTGGTCAAAGCTCAGGTTAACAATGTTGGTCAGAAGGATTCTGGTGGAAACTGTAGTACTGTTGGCCAAAGACAAAGAAATACCATCTTAAGGGCAAGAGAGGAGGAAAGGCAAGAGTGTGGCGGTTTAAATATATGACTGGTGAAGAGGGAGATGATATGATGGAGAAAAGAAAGGCAGATATATTGGATGGAAGGGAAGCAAAACTAGGAGCAGTGGAGGTTGATTCAAGCCGTTCTAACACGGTGTAGGTAGGAAGAGAAATGGAGTTGGGGTCATTTTGAAGGTAGAGTGTGTGACTAGTGATTGTGAGTTCAAAGCTGGAAATCAAAGGGGTGATGTTGAATGTTGTCAGTGTTTATGCACAACTTGGCTGTCAGAAGATAAAAGAGAATTTTTGAGATGAATGAAGGGGTAGAGAGTGTCGCCAGAGGGAGAGATGAGTGATTAGAGCAGATTACAGGGGACGTGGAGGTGAAGGGAGCAGAGGTGATGATGTTATGGTGTTAAGGAGAGAAATGCAGAAGGACAGTGGATTTTACAAAAAGGACGGGAAGAGCTGTGGTGAATACTTCAAGAAGACAAGCGAACAAACACACAGGTACACACAGTTATATCTTCCTGCACTCTTTTAGACTGCAAGAAGTGCAATTTGGAACAGAGAGGCAGCTGGAAGATGGTGACAAGGGAGAACATAGCAGCATCAGATGGCAGTCTATAGGAAACCTTGGGAACTTTGGTAAATCAGGAAGATTAGAGCATGTCTGCACTTGAAAAATTTGGCTGACCTGGTAATTTTAGTACAGATTTTACAGGAAGATTTCTGGGACCCCAGTGGATGGGGTCTTGTGCTTTGCGTCTGCCATTACATTCCCAGTGTTTGTTTATTTTTTTTAATTAATCAGCAAATTAAAATCTTGTATAAGAAGACACCAGCGCATCAGTCTCTGGTTTGAGTTTTTCATCTGAAATAGATTATTTCCAGTGAACACCTGAATTGGTTGTGACCTAGACTTGTAGATTTCACAGTTCTGCAAGGCAACAACTTCCTTTTCAACAGTGCTACAGTTTAGCTGTTTGTGAACTTCTTGGAAAAGTAGCAGATGGGATGATCCATACCCTGCTTCTATTCCCGTAAAAGGACAGTTGAAAGGAAGTGCAAAATTGGGCGCTACACAATAATGCTCTAGCAGATTCAAAGCATCGAGACAAAGTTCTTCAGTGAGCTAAATATTCCCATGAGAGGGTTAGTTAGCTCACAGAGAATCCGGGATCAGGCAAACTATATCATCCCAAGCAGATTCAGACAGATGGGACAGGATGAACTCTAAATTATCTAATACCTAACAATGAAAATGTTTTAACTGAGCACCAAACACAAAACACCTTTTTCAATCAGCCCATCATCAGAGGGTTTATATTAAGCAATCGCACACAGTGATAGTGGAGCAGCCAGGCTGTTTCTTGGAAAGTAACATTTCAACATGTTCATATAGCAGATCCTAGTTATTTGGATTACATAACTTACTAGGCAGGATCCAGCAAACTGTGCTTGCAAGCTGGACCATAAAATGTTCTCACCTGTTTAAAGAGTACTGAAAATAGTCTTTTTGTCATAATGGGCCTTCATCTTAGACTGAGCATGTTTTTCCTTTGGCTAACTGATGGGCGTAATGGAGTTTCTTTCAGAAACTGAAGGCAAAACTTGCACAAAATGGTTTGAAGTGTCTGATTGAGTCTTTCTAAAGATAATGGAGACTCTAAACAACAGTTTAGGTAACAGTTGGATTCATCTCGAACACTTTTCACATGAAATTTAAGCCTTGGTCAGTTTAAGGAACTTTTGGTAAAGGTGGGGGAAAAAATGGTATAGCCTCTGGGAATCTTGTTACAATGTGTGTTTACATGTGGATTTAGTTTTGGGTAAAGGATCCACCTAATCCAGTATTACTCTGTTCAATCCCCGCTGGGATGGGATGGAGGGGACAATGTGAAAATAGTGGCAATATTTCATAACATCAGCCTTGAAACCAGTACAAAAGAAGTTCAACAACACACTTTAATGTTTCCTTGACACCGAAATATCCCACCAGGCTGGCTTTATGCACTAGTCTGAGTTTTAGTCTGATCAATTATGTGAAACACTAGTCACACTCAACTGTACATTAGATTTGTTGCTCATGGGCATGATCATAGAACATTAACACACACACACATATATATATATATATATATATATATATATAGGATTTGAGAGGGTCATGATCTCCAGTTTAAGATTATCAAATAGCAAGTTTTGAGACTAAAGTATATAGTTAGGGCTGGATCAGGTGACCCTGAACCCTGTCATGTTGCTATAGGTTCAGACTGCTGCAGAACATAATGTGATTCACTGAGGATGCTTTATATGTTTATACATCACAACAGGAGGTCATTACATTTTTGTCTTGAGACTTTGTCCTGTTAAAAGGATGTTCTTCCTTCCTGTTGTTACCTAGTACCTGCCTATAGGTCATTTAATTGCAGTTTTCTCTGGACTACTGAAAGGGATGTACCTCACAGTATTAAGCACCTGGAGGACAACTGTTTTGGTTTGCCACAACATAAATACATCTGAACTGAATAAACACAGAGGTGAGACCACTTTTTATTCATCTCAAATCACACAAATGCTATTTTTTTTAAAAAGAAGAAGAAAAAAAGAAAACACCCCACAGTGGATTCAGTTCACTCATCCTTCATTTTGTAGTGTCAACATTAAGACTATGAATCACAGCACTTTAATCTGAGAAAGGCAAATTTGACAACACCTCCCCTCTTCATATAATCCAAGAGCACTTTTGAGGACGATGGCAAAATACCATCTGCAGCAAACCTGTCAGGCATCACGTTCATCCAAGCAGCTGAGAAAAAAGGGAAACCCCCCAAAACCAACCCACCTGTACTGCACCATGTAGGCTGAATGTAAACACCTTTAGGTAATCTGTTCTACATTTTGTACCATGTACTGCACTCAAATTCATCATGAGGAGACTCATATTTAAATAACCCTTATCCCTCGTAATCAGCATCAAGACAAACTTTAAAATATATTATTTCTGAAAAGGCAGCACCGTACTCCCTCAGCGCTAGAAAATATGGAATGAAACTGATCTATTACAGGAATTAAAGATTTCGTAAACTATGTAAGAAAATTTCTAGCGTTTCTATCAAAGATAAGTCTTCAGAATTATATTAAAAGAAACACTATTAAAGAAACTGCTCAGGAGTATTGCTCCATTTCATGCTCTCCAGCAGGATCTTATAATCAAAGTGAACAGTGGAAGAAGTTGAGGGCCCAAGAAGGGGTCTCTAGACTCAGATGTGTTGTTCAGTAGGCCTCTCCTGGTAAGGTCAGTCCTGCTTGGAACGCTCTGGGTCGTACTTAATTAGCAGGTGGAGGGAGGCGAAGCCGAACAGAAAGGTCTGGATAAACCACAGGCACCGAGTGGACATGTCCTTGATGCCTTTGTTACTGCAGGAAAAAGTTAACAGTGTATGTTTAGGAAATAGATTCATCATGTGCGCAATGGTTGTTGAACCCTTAAACAGAAAATTATGCACAATTTGAATGCAGCTGGCCATTTTGTTTTTTTAATTCAAAAGTGTACATGTGGACATGAAATTGGGCTAAAAAATTAGATTGCAGCACCACCTAGTGGATGTTAAGGTTCCTGCATTCTTACCTGCACAACTTCAGTGCAACCAGGGCCTCACAAAGATGAATAGCACAGGTCAACCACCACCTGAAACAGGAAAAAAAGGAAGCTCAACTCTCCAGTGATAACATTTAAAACTAGGATAATGCACATGCTTCCAAAAAGGGGAAAAGACCCACAAGTTAACAGTGAGGACTTTTCTGGTCTGAAAACAAGTTTTCCCCTCATGCTATTCTAATCACGAGTACTGATAAGCTTAAATTGATCAGTCGTTTCAGATTTCAAACCACCAGTGACTCGATGATGGCTTCCAGCTGCCTTTCCTTTGAACAGACCGACTTAGCAGCTGAGTCACGTGACCGAAACCACAATACATTAAGCTCTGATTGCTGTCCTATTACTCCACAGCATGAGTGCTAATTTGCAACCTATGAATGTGGCGTCAACAATCCACATGTGTG